CTTCAGCCACCTGCATCTAGCTTTCTAACTCCAGTAGAGTTCCTCCTCCTTATATGCCTTGCTAAGCTTCAGCTTTAATTCTGCTATCTGGCCTCGTATCCCTTCTCCACTTGACTCTTTTATTTCCAGCAGCTTCTCCTTTATCTGTGTAATCTTCTTCCCAGAGTTCATCCTCAACTTTCTGTTCCATGCCAGCAGAGCCATTCTACATTCCCTTATCTTCCTCATCACTATGAACATCCTAGATCCTTTCTGTTCTATTCCCCATGCTGTCTTTATGATTCCTTTACTGTCCTCATTTCTTGCCTGCCTTTGATCAAAATAGAATCTCTTTTTTAGCTTCCTTTGATTGGAGTTATTATCGAGAATAAGAATGCTATGGTCTGAGGCTTCAGTTTCTTGATGATGACAGATTACTTTAACAAAAAATTGGTACCAGTCCACTGATCCTAAACATCTATCAAGCCTCTCTCTCTCACCTCACCATCCCCTTCCCATTGATTACACCACGTCCATGGTTTCCCTTCAAAATCTATGTCAACTAACTCATTTTCTTTGATAAACTTGTTAAACTCTATGAAACTCCCCTCAGTTCTTTCCCTCCCCCCCATTTTTCTATTCCTGATCTGATGTCATTAAAGTCACCCACTAAAATCCAGTGATCCCCCCATTCCTGTTTTTTTTGTTCTATTTTCTTCCATTGCTCTTTCCTGGTGTTCTCCTCAGTACTAGCATACACCTCTACCAACCAACATTCACTCTTCGTCTCCAGATCCTTTATTTTTGCCTCTATGAAGAAATTTCCATGTCTGATAATATCCACCTGCACCTCTTCTTTCTAGAAAAAAGCCAAGCCTCTTGCCCTTCCAACCGAGTCTACAGCATAGCAATGATCAAATTTTATCTGTCTCTTAACTTTTTCCATAACTATTTTTTGGTTTTTTGTCTCACATAAGAAAACAATACTTGGAAAGTGGAGATTTATCATCTCCTTCAACTAGGGAATTGTCAAGGGTGTAAAGGATGGTCATTAATGAGTAAACAAAAATTTAGAACTCTTATGGTACAAAACAAAAAAAAAATCACTCTAAAAAAAACCTTCATTATTCCATGAATGCAAACGCCATCCCTTTCACTGCCCTTTTTTTTTTTAATTTTTTTGTTCTAAAGTTCATGCGTGCTGCTCAAATTTCTTGCAAGATTAACAATGGCTTAAAAAAATAATTTTGTAATGAGTCAAAAAATACAAATAAGGAAAGTGAAAGAGAATCTGTTCAAATTAGTGCTTTGGGATCTCCTCTTATGCATAAAAGGGGAGCAAAAACTTGTATAAAAAAGTTTCTTGATGTAAAAGCTCACATTAGAGATAAAAGTTAATACCATTTGTAAGGTTTCGAAAGTAATAACGTACATGGTTACTTGGCTAATATTCCTATTAAGTAAGTTGAGTTTAAGAACACATTCCTGCATGGGACATTCACCATAAGTTATTAGAGATAAAAACATGCAATTTAATGTGGTGGATTAAACTCTACATTTTTTAATATATTTTTTGGTTTCTCAAAACAAGGAAAGGAATAGCACTAAAGTCATCTCCATGGTTGTGACCCCTCGAGTCTGAGCCCCAGTCGTAGCCAAATGTATCAAAAGGAAAAAAATAATCCATTATGATTATGCCACACAAAATATTATAAGGTTTATCAACTGAGCGCATATTACACCGCAACGGATCTTCTGTCCCACACCCTGTGCCATTCTCTGTCCCACTTTTTATTATATTGCTATTTCTCCTACATAAATATCATGTTTTAGTTCTTTTTTGTTTCCTTAAGATCCAATAACTATTAATTAAGTTATTCACAAAATTTAACATACTCAAAAAATCAAAATGCATAAAAAATGAGATTTTTTATGAATTTTCTGCTGTATTTTTTAATTTTTTATTATATATTACTTTTTTTGAAGCTACTGTATTTATTTTTTACTTAATTAATAGTTATTGGATCGTAAGGAAACAAAAAAGAACTAAAACATGATATTTATGTAGGAAAAATAGCAATATAATAAAAAGTGGGACAGAGAATGACACAGGGTGTGGGACAGAAGATCTGTTGCGATATTACACCCATTGAACTTTCAGATAATCAAGACATAAAAGAAATAGCAAAGGAAAATAATTTCAACAAGAAACAAAAAGAAAAGAGACTGAAGCAGAGATTTCATGATGTTGAGGGCAAAAAAAAAACCCAATTAAAATTTGAATATGCGTTGTTTTCTTTAAAATTGGGTGATCCGAAATTGGACAAAATTATAGGTAAAAATTGAAGATCGTCAATTCTTGACTGAATGTGCATTGTTGCAATGCTACTTGAGAGATAACTAACAACAGGAATGATATCAGTTTGTTGAACGTTCAGGATATTAAGTATTAATGTAAGTGAAGTGGATAAAAGTTTTGCTAGTTAAATTTTAATTGAGAGAGAGCAAAGAGTGTTGGTTGTTAGATATATGGCAATCAACAAATTTGGCTTTTCGATAAAATTCAGTTTCAATTGTTTATTTTTCAATGAAGGTTTTGTATTGCTTTTTGATTGTTTAATTACCTTTATATTTTATTGTTTCAATCTTATAATTTCTTAGATCAAATATATCTGTGACATGTTCAATATATTTTCTGCCATTAGTGCAGATTACTTTGTTAAGTAAATCGTGCTGAACGATTTCCAACGAGATAATTAATAATATTGACTTATGTTTTATCAAAAAAAATTACCCTTAGTGGTCAATTAACAATATCTACTTATGCTTTTCAATTTATTACTCAACAACCTTCAAACATGAATAAGTCCAATTCTTCCTTGTCGTATTTAAGAATTGTATGTATTTTACTATTATATTCTTCTCCATCTGTGGAACTCGGTCTTGATTTATGAGTTGAGTCCATGTTAGTTTAAATCATGCAACGCATAGCCAGTTAATTGTGCAAGGGAATGAGACAGGTCAATTTACACGTAAAAGGATTAACTGAATCCTTCACGAGGGTGCCCAGATTTCGATTTTTTTTTATTGCCCAGATTTTGATTAATTTATTGCTTTGGTGACGGTGCGATGAATGAATTTGCCATTCTAATTGAATACACCAAATGAAATTGATATAGACAACTGAGGAAAAAAACATCTGAATTATCCGATGGCATAGTCATATCACAGTCACATATTACCAGTTTTCTCTAGACAGCATCTTTTATTACATTTTCCATTAAAGACCGTACAATTGTACCACTTGGGATCCTCGATGACATGTTTTCTATGCCAATTCAATGTCACCTATAATATTGCGTCAAGTGTCTTGTTATTATTTACACTTTAATTTTCTAATAATTCAACTTGATTTGGTTTAACACAAGTGTAAATAATAACATGACATTTGACACAATATTATAGGTGGCATTGAATTGATATAGAAAATATGTCACCGAGGATCCCAAATGCAATTGTACTAGCCTCTTTCCAAAAAAGGAAGAAAAGAAATACGACCACAATTGTACTAATAAACAGCCATCCATGCAAATGAACTCCTTCATGTATGTGTTAGTGTTACAATACAAAGCAATTGCAACTTACAGATTCCAGCTAGTGCAACAATTCCAACGAAAGTTTAGTCAACAACAAGCAGCTGGACACACTGTCATGAGCTCGCCGCCAAAACAACCGGAACCAAATTGTCCACCGAGTACAGGTGTTAATGGGGACAAAATTTTAGTGTTCATGTTTAAAATTCCCATGCTTATTATTGTGAAGATTAAGATTAAGATATGCACCTGACCAAGGCTCTTCATCTAGCTTTCTTAGTTAGGCAGGCCTCGTAGCAAGTCTCACCCTCTCTTAATTTTTAAATTTTTTTTTTAATTTTTATGGCTGGATGAACAAGAAGCAATGTATACTTCTCCCAAGCAGTAGGTATACTAATTGGGCATATAACAAGTTTACGTGTTTAGTGGTTGGTGTTGAAATCTCACGATTTAGAGGTTCTAGAATTTAGTCCTTCTTATTTATTTTTATTTCTTAAATCTCATTTCTCTATTAAAAAAGAAAAAGAAAAAGTTCATATACCCTTATAAATGTGCATGTTGTGTGACATAGGTAGGGATTGTTGAAATGCATTGAATCAGATTTTCGACCTCTGCTGAGTTGTTCGTACTTTATATCCATTCTGTATACAAATATATGATACATTCCGAATCCTAATAAAAATCTGATTTCTCCCAAATTTGTTTTTGTTTGTTCTTCCGTTCCGCTGCATCTATTTTAACAAGTATATCTAATTTCTCTTAATCAGTGGGGAGTCATATGCCTAATTAATCTTTGGTACCTTACCATTATTAGTTCCTCGAACTCCTCTTCATCTCCTTTATTTTTTCCCATTCCTCCTGGGGTCCTATATGCAATTTCAAACTTCTTCAATGGCGTGCGAAATCTTTCATATACAAAAGTGTATGGTATACCTTCTGGACGCCACCATTTGAATTCCAAAACTTCAACCATCATCAAAATTGTACAACTTCAACTCACAGTCAAGAAATAATATATATATATATATATATATATATATATATATATATATATATATATATATATATATATATATATATATATATATATATATATATATGTATATATATATATATATTCAATTAGAGGAAAGGGGAAGAGGGTTTTTTTTTTAATTCGTGATTTTTTTGATATTAATCCAATTGGTGCGTAGATTATTATAATGTCTGCAGATCAACATAGAGTATTAAATTGAAAGCGCCCAACACGTGAAGAACTGTTGACTGTTGAATATTTTCCATCTTTCTGGCATTCATTTGTGACAATAGAAGATGCCGAAGTGGTAAAATTTTGTAATGTGCCTAACTCTCTGTTTCTAGTTTTTTTTTTTTTTTTAGAAATATGTTTTTATTTATTCATGGGATTGAATACAAAAAAAAATATTCCTCTTACATATTTGTGATTTTTCGAAGTGAAGGCATTCCTAATCTGTCCAAACAGATTGCTCCACGAGCCAGTCTTGGGAACATACTAAAGGTATCGTAAACCTTGATTTGTTGCTGTGGATGAGATATTCCCACATTAGACAAAGCATCAGCAACTGTATTAGCTTCCCGATAGCAATGTGAGAATCTAGCAGGATCTTCTACTAGCTTCCAAATCTGGTTAACTTCTCTTCGAATTTGCCACGGATACTGAGTACGACGCTGAATGATCCCAATCAAAACCAATGAATCTGATTGTACACATATGTCTTCGAAGCCCTTTTGTATACACGTTTGAAGGTCAATTAGAAGAGCTCGAGCCTCTGCGTGGAGACTTGTAGTTTCTCCCAAGTAGGCCGAGAAGGCAATCAGTGGTAAGCCAGTTGAATCCCGAAGAACCCCACCACCTCCACCCACTCCTGGATTACCTTTAGCACAGCCATCCGTATTAAGTATATACCTTCCTGTCTCCTTTGTCTCCCAGCGGATAACTTTATATGCAACCCTGCCACCAGAAGGAATCTTCCAATCATACAACTGACTGAATGATTGCAGTCGAATAACTTTTTTGAACTGTATTCCCACCATCGTATGGATTTCTGCGAAGATGGCTTGGCAAATGGCCGACGATCGCATCTGGATACCCTCAAACATTGCTTTATTCCTCGCCTTCCAAATCTGCCGGCAAACTACACTTGGAAGAATGCGGTCAATAAACCGTCGTAGCTCATAGTCATGTGATCGCAACCACCAACCTACTATGCGAGCTCGTAAGTAAGATCCTGAAAAATTCAATCCACATAGACCTCCAAAATAATTCCATATTACCGTCGCTATGTGGCCATTGGAAAATAAATGCTCAATAGACTCCTCAGATGCCGCAGAACAACAAAAGCATTTGGAGTTTGCATAACTGATCTGGTATCGGAATCCTTCCCAGAAGTAATCTCAACATGAAAAATGAAACTTTTACAGGAATGCGGGAATGCCAAATAGAGGCAAATACCATAGACGTGGGGCGAGCCTGCCTAATATCCCCGAAAGCGGACTTTAGGGAGAATTTTCCGGATGTTGTGGACATCCAAATGACTTCAACTTCATTTCCTTCTTCCGGGACCATTTGCTCTAAAATGGAAAAAACATTCTCCCTTGGCAATGTCTGGTATAAAAGATTCAAATCCCAGTGACCATTGAGTGTGAAATTTCTGAATGATAAATGTGGGATAACCGGAACTTGTAAAAATAAAGCACCACTTCCCAACCAGTTATCGTACCAAAAATGACACGCCCCATGTTTGGCCACCCATAACATCGACAGCTCCACTTGTCGGCTCACGTTTACCATCCTTCGCCAAATTGACGAATCCGTTTTCCTAAGTTCAACCTGACAAGGGTGAAGACCTTTGCAATATTTTGCTTTCATGAATGTCGACCACAACGATGATCCTGTTCGGAAGTTCCACCACAACTTGCAGGAGTCTGTTTCTAGTTTGGCTCAATAGGATGTACTTTAATGTGATGAGCATACAACTCACATTCCACTCCGTGTTGGTGCATGAATACAGGTTACTCTAGTCAACACCATCCTTCTACACGTGCAAGTTTTCCTCTCTAAGCCAATCACAGAATACTTCCCATGCATATCCCTAATATGAAAACGGTAGGTCTTCAGAATTGATTGCAGCAGAGCCGCTTCATTCAGGAATATTCTTTTGAACCTGAGGACACATACCTCCACCGTATATTTTCCCATGCGCACTCTTTTGAACCTTAAATGGGTTTTTCATTTGGTCTCACATTTTCCATATGTTGGCATAATTAAATCACACTTTCTATTAGTCGCTGTTTCCTATTTCTAAACTAAATTAAAAGTTCAAGTATAGTCCAGTTTTAGTAGTTTACTTGTTTAAGATATAGAGAAATTAATTATTGGGTAGTTTTGCGTCTTGGTAGTTTACTAATTATCAATATTATATATAAGGTATTTTAGTATTGTATTTAGTTGAGAATAGCGAGGAAAAAATTTATAGAGAGTTATGGTTGTTGTAAAGGTAATTCTACATAAAATTTATATCGATTTCAATACGAGAGTTGGACGTGCTTTATGTATTTGTCATCATCTCCTCCCAAACATTTTTACACGTGTGAAGTATGCTTCAATACGCAAATTTATTGCCCACACTTGACAACCCAAAGTGTGTGGAACTTAACATCAGGCCACTCTTTCTTGTTTGCCACTTATTCTAAGTTTCCTTGTCAATTTCCAAATGCCTTCTTGATTGACTTGCATGGTTCATTTACAAAATGAGTTTGCAATGAATAAATGCCTTTTCACGTCTTGACTAGTTACGATGTATATTTCATCTTTGATAGTGAAATTTTCACCAATTACAAGCTTAGAGTTTGAGAAATCTTGTAACCCGGAAAAAAAAAAAAAACCAACGGCTATGAGGAGCTTCTTGGTTCCAAATTCCAATGGTTAGTCATAAGTAATTATGAAACCATTAACCTCAATCCATTTTGCATCCTCTTATTACCTTCTATCCTTAATTCTTATCATTAACAACGAAAAACAAGAACGGACCATTCCGGTGATCAGGCGAGAACTAATCTCATGTACGTAACAGGATTGGGGCAGGCACTTTGGGGTTAATACTCTTGCATGTGGTGGAGAACTAATAATCGTACATGCCTAAATACGTTGGATTTCAGAAACCTCAACAAGTTGACACCGGAAAAAGATAGTCATAGGAATACAACATGTAATAATTCAAGACTTCTCGATAACTATTGATGGTTGGGAAATTAAAAGGCAAACGAAATCCAACAAATGCTTTTCCTATAGTTGACCGTACGATGCTGTTTTCTTCTTGGCTGCTTGAAACGTAAATGTTTCTGTGTTGAATTATCAAAAAAAAAAAAAAAAAAGTTTTTGTGTTGAATGTCATGATCTCAGCTCCATTGAATCACGAATAAAATGTAGGGCATAAATATTGTACTCCAACTCTACATAGCACATTTTCATGATAACGGACCAATCGCGGTTCATATATACGCTTTCTAATTAAACTTAATTAGCATGTAGTAAGATACACGTTATTTTGAGATGGACCCAAAGAGCAGAAGCTGTCATCCTCGAAGTTTGGTTTTCTAGCTAGATGCCATTCTTGGAGTGTATAATTTATATACCTTTCCTTGCTTTTCGGGGACTGGTTTCACAGCAAGACCCTGATTATCATGTGTTGGCCGAACAAATCGAGCTTAGAAGTTTTCATTTATTTATTTTTTATATGGCCATTTCTTCTTCTGTAAGTCTTTTTGAGTTATAAGCAGACTAATTAATTACTAGGTATTCATCCAAGAGATTCAAAAAGAGTCTATAACATGCATTTCGTTCTGACGTCTTTTCTATTATTTGAAATATCAATATATAATATCGCGAGTTATTTATTTCCTCTCGTCCACATATATTTTGAGCAATTATTTTATCCCTTTGATCCTTATTATCATTATTAGAACCCTAAATTTAGATTCTACATTATAACTTGATAATCAATTATCAGTAGAGTAATTGACATGCAAAACACAAAGCCGATTGATTCCTGCATGCAATTAATTAAATGCAGAATCAAAATACACACATAGATATATGAACTTAAAAATAGACAGCAGATTTTATTTAATAATGGCGCAGTCTTGATACAAGTGCACCTTCAATATCCAATACAGTACTAGGGCGGAGAAGTATCTCAGCATACCAAGTACGTACTTAACCACATACAGAGACCAGATAATTAAAGTACTTAGTACAATACATTGATCATCCTCGGTTGGAGAGCAGCACTTGATTAATGCTTGTACCAGATGAGTTTCTTGTGACCAGTTATGGCTTCCACAACCAGCGTTTTATCGCGGTGTGTGCCCTTCGAGTCCTGAGTTTCAATCTGAAGTGCATAGAAAGTGCCAGCAATGGCGCTCCACTTCACGCCGCCAACCACTTTGATGAATACCAGCTTGGTCCCGGCCTTCTCGTTGTGCTTTTTCACTGCAAATTGTGCGATCTTTATCACATGAGGGCTTGTCTTGTCCACCGGTTTTGGAAGAGGAACACCAGCTATGCCTACTAATTTGGTATCCTGTAAGCCCCAAATAATTTAGTTCTCAAAATTAATCAGAATCCTTAAAAAAGAAAAAAAAAAAAAACTCAATCAACCCAAGCTATTAACAAGAAACTAAATTACTCAGGGGATGGATAATCAAAATATTCAAGAATGTAGAGAAGGACAAAAAAATGTTTAGTTAGTTAAAACAATTTAAGTTTGTGCACGTTACTTTCATTTGCGACTCCTTATTCTTTTTCAAAAGTTTCTACGCAAGTTGTTAAGTTATATAAAAAACCTATTACGACTTCGAATTTCTACTAGTTTATTTTTCTATTATTTTTATTCTGTTTTCAATAAAAGTTTATTATTCTGGCTTTTGTGAAATCTGCAGCGTACCGTTTATCTTATTTTTGGTCGTGGACTAATTCCACCTTGCACCCACGAACTTATACTACTTTTTTATTTTGTATCCTAAACTTTAATTTAGAACACTTTGCATTTTAAACTCTCAATTTTGGATATTTTACACCCTAAATTTTCAAATTTATTCCATTTAAGTCCAATTAATAGCAATGTCATCAAAATTAACAAGATAAATGGTGGTACAAATTGATAACAATATGTTGATGTATTCTAATTGGCTGTTTTTGACTGTTTTCAACTTATATTATTAACAAGATAAATGGTTATGGGATTAAACACTCTTATTAATTTGAATAATTATTGTATTATTTTTTTTGTTAATCTAATTTGGTTATTCTTTTTCTCCTACAAGCACAAGAGAGTTAGGTTGCCTTATATACCCGATCCTATTCTACAAATTAACTAATCAATTGTTAACAGAATGAATAAAGTTCGGGTATGAAATACAATTTTTGCTAAATTGCTACTTGCAGTTAGGATAAATGAAATTGCAAATGAACTGATCATCCAGTCCATGACCGCCCCCAGATATTGGCTTAGAGATGCAAAGTGGAGTTAGTCCTTTAGTAAATGTACTTTTTACCTTATATTTAGTTTACTAAAACCAATCCTACCAAACTCAAAAAGTTTACGTGGTTCTTTTTGGTACTCGCAAGCATGAAATACCTTTAATTTGTGGAATTAACTTTATGAACTGAATTGTCCGCTCTTAAACAAACACTTAAAGACCTGTAAATCTATTGAAGAGCTTTAATTTGTCTCATCCAAGTTAAACACTGACAAGTACTTGCGCATTAAAAGAATCTGTAAATATTTTGAAGGGCTTTAATTTGGTGCAATTTAGCAGTGTTATTACAGAACCGAGTCACAACTCAGAGACCAGTGAAAGAAAGGAAAAAGGGGTCTGACGGGAAGATGATGATTATTCACCTTTCCACCACCAGTGACAAAGAAGTCCTCATCGCACATGTCCATGTCCTTGGTATCTTCAATTGCATTCCATATCATGTCGTCTCCAGCAGTCTTCATTATAGCTTCCACTTCAGCCGACTGGAATCCCTCCACGGCCACTAATTTCCGCCAAGGTGCAAGAACCCATTTCAATTGTAAGAAAATAAAATACTCACCACTTGCGACCTTGAAAAAGAAAAAGCTGTAATACAAATATGTACACATGCATGCAAAACATAAAACTGATGCAAGAATGTTTAGAGAATAGAAGATTACTGTTGGCTGCGACTTCAGTTATGTTGAAGTTGTAGTTGACTGTGACTTCAGTCATTTTTTCCTTAGGGAGCTACCTGATAGCTAGTGAGGATGCTAATAGATTGCTGTAACTGGTTGTGATTGTAGAAGCTAGGTTTAGCACATGAAAGAAAAACCGTATTCCTTGTATTTATACGCAAATTTTTACACCTAAATGCCCTTTATGCCCTTTGTGTGAAACTGGGAATCTAGTGAGAAATATTTATTCGATAGAAAAATAATTTATCCATCAGGCAATTATGAAGAACTTAATTTGTTCCTTCTCTGTTATTCTTTTCTAAAGTAGACAATGTCACTATTGTGATAAGGATCCAATAGACGAAGCAAG